AGGAGGTAGGCCAGGGTTCAATGAACTGGAAGACTATGGAGAGGGACCCAGATACCCTGAACTTGAACCCAATTTTCCACAGGAGGCTTTCCCCTTAAGGCTGGATTACGTACCTTCGAATTCTTCCAGGGAAGTGAGACATGGCTCTGATCAGCTGAATCCTGCAGGCAATGGCCCAATGGGAATGATGTTAAGAAGGCAGAATATCGGACAGAAATTTATTTGCCAGACTTCTCCTACACAGAAACAAAGCCTGGAACAACGCCTGTTCTTACAAGACAAAGATGAGGACCAAGATGAAGACAAGAACACACAGGAAAATAGAACAGGTTTACGTAACTGGAGGATTTCCTCATACCTTAGTGCATACCAGTCTGAACCAGAAGAAGGTCTTCCAATGCCGATGGAATCAGAGGCATATAATGATGTTCTTGGGGATACCCTCACAAAGCACCCCACTGACCTCATCCCGGCATTCAAATCCCCCATGTCTTTTAATAGCAAGTCACTGGGAATTGAAAGTGCCAAAGAATTTTCAGATCCTGATAGAGTAGGTGAAGAAACCCCTATAATGAAACAAGATGCCTTCAGGTCCAGAATAAATCCTTTGATCCAGAGGAGCTCAAGACTCAGGTCCTCTCTGATTTTCAGTGCTGCCAAGTTAGATCAGCCTAACACCACAATAGAAAAGGTTCAGATGATCCAAAAAGAACAAATGTCCAGTGAGTTGACAAAAGACAATGAAACTATAAAGACAGCCACCTCATCTAAAGTGGCAGAACTTTTAGAGAAGTACAAAGCTGTGGGCAAAGATACAGAACGAGCCACAGTCACTCATACCAAAGCTGTCTCCAGTTTTCTACAGGAAGAATCACAGAACACAGAGAAGAAATGTACCAAATCCGTGCAATATAAGATTCTGGAGAGTAGGATACTAGACTCCAAAGACTCCTGCAGTACTTACAAAATGCATGGAGAGGCTGACAGACCATTTGGAATGGCCTCATCAAACCCCCAGCTTGTTGACGCATTTAGTAAAGATCCCCTAGCACACATTAGCACTAAGGTGGACAAATTATCATCTCGGTTTTACCCCATAGAGAATAAACCTGCTCTTCCAGAGAAGGAGAGTCTTATATTTGTAGGAGACACTCAGAAATTGACTCTTCCAGAGAAGAAGGAGAGAGTGACGTTCAAAGAAGACACTCAAAAATTAGTCAATACAGAACTGAAGAAACCACAGATTAGGACAAGTACCACATCAGTTCTTGAAAACTTGTCTAGAAGTCAAGGATCTGACAGCTCTCTCAACAAATCTGAGGAAGACTGTTCAAAACAAGAACAAAATCCAATGGAATTTTTAAGAAAAGGGTCACTACGGCTGAAGCAGCTTTTGACCCCAAAAGGTGAAAAGAAGTTGGAGGAGGAATCCACTTCTGAGAGTGGAAAATCAGACAAGTCAGCTGTGGTTCTCAAACGATCTTCCATAGGGGACTGTCAGGAAATGATGGAGGAAGAAAAAACCCATAAATTTGCAACACCCCTTCCTCCCAAAAGCAGCCAGCCAACACAGGGGAGATTTCCTTCATCCACCACTAACATCCTGTACAGCAGCAACCTCCGTGATGATACCAAGGTGATTTTGGAACAAATCTCTGCAAACAGCCAGAAGAACAGAGCTGAACTGGCCAAGCAACTACCATCCACGAGTAATCCTGACCTTTCTAAGTCAACTACAAGCTTGGAAAGGAAAAGTGAGAAGGAGAAAAGCTGTAACATCCACAGGTCAGAGAGTTTTGGAAGCCAGAAACGAAATCTTCAGCGGCAACCATCGGAGGATAGAGACACCCTTCTGAAAAAAATGGAAAATATGCGGAAGGAGAAGCGAGTCTACAGTAGATTTGAGGTCTTCTGCAAAAAGGATGAACATACAAGTCAGAGTGAAGAAGAATATGACACAGATGCTAAAGACAAGAAGATGGGAAAATTCATGCCCAAAATCCTGGGGACCTTCAAGACCAAAAAATGATCATAGAAACACTATTTAATTCCATCTAATCACTGACTGTCAAAGGCAACTGAGGAAGTAGCTTGTTTATGATGGCTGTAAGCACCATAGGCAATACGCTCCATGGTTAGTCAGTGGAAATGTGTTCAGCAGTAGACTCCTACGGCACAATTTGCCCAATAAAGTCATGTGGTATCAGGCAACCCTATTGCAGTATGTTTCAAATAAAATTATTAAACTGCCAAGATGCTTCAAACAAAGAAATAAAGTAAGAGTCTCTTTACATTATGCTCAGGGAACATTTTCAGCAGACAAAACAATTCCACTTTCAGAAGGAAAGAATGGAAAATAGAAAATTCAATACTTGAGTTCAGTCCAGGCAAGAAAAATACACACAGATACACAAGTGCACATGCGCATTAACTGGAAAAGGTGTTTCTCAGGTACAGTCATCTTTTCTTTGTATCTAATAACAAATCAAATATGGGAGGCAACTTTTTTAAAGGTTTACAGGAGAAAAAATATTGTAAACAACTTTTTGCCTGTATCTATGGTTATGGTCTTGTCTAGCAGTACATGCTCAGCTTTCATATTTACCATTTTCTAAGCCTATTGGTTCTGTTTTGTTAGTGGTTTCTTTCCTTCTGTATAATGGAAGTATTGGTTTGGGGGGTGAGCTGAAAGAAGCAGCTGAAAGGCCATAGAAAAGGAAATGGACATGTTATTAAAGAAAGGCCTGGTTTTAGGACTCCTTTTCAGCTGAGTTGGAATCTAATTAAGCATCGAAAATGCTGTCTTGGCAAAGCAGTAACTTCCTTGACAATGTGGCTCCAATCCATTAAGTGATTGTGAGGAGGGGACGTTCCCGTGTGAGGGCAAGGAAAGAAGGGACTCAGAACAACGGAGGGAATGAGGCTGATGGAATTCTCAAGCTCAGGAGTGTTTTATCTTACGTAACTTTCTTGTAGTAGTTTGATACCGAACTGAACCCTGCAGCTTTAGAACAGTCCAGATTAGCCTGTAGGTTCATGCTGTTGTGTCTTAGTTCTGGCAAGGACAGAAGGCAGAGACAGAGGCTATTGTGAAGTGCTGTACATAATGTTTAGTCACTTAGCTCTTTAGGTTTTTTCCTCAGCTTGGACTGTCTCTGCCTGGCACCTAGCCAAATTGGGACTTTTTTCTTTTCCTGATTTTTGTGCCACAGACATAACAGGGAAGAATGCTCTCACATGGAACTAGGCTTCTGAATTTCCCAGTCCCATTAGCCTGGGTTTCATGATTACCCAATTTCTGACACCAGCTGCAAGCTTAGTAAAGCAGTTCAGGTACGTGGCTGGCAGATGGAGGCCGGAGGCTGCATCGGTTCTGGAAGGTAACTTTAGCAGGATCTTTAAAACTTTAGCTTTTTTTTAAGGATGCCAGCTCCCATGGTAGCAGGCATTATATAAGGCTTTATATAATTTACATATCTGTAACGATTAATAATTATTTTACTGTTTGTTGAAAACCTTGGGAAATGAATGTGCAGAAAGATAGACTGATCTGAAAAAAATTAAGCTGATTTCCATATTAACACAGATGGTGTAAAAATGTGCAAGAATTAAGAGGAATTATGATTTTAACATGAAGAGATAAACCTAGAAATAAAGTTAAGAGGGGGAAAAAAAGAAAAAAAAAAAGAGGGAAGAAGCTGCCAAAATTGGAATAAAAGCTGAAATGGATTTCTTATGGTTCTTCCATATTGTATAAATGTATTCTGTTCCAGATACAACCCATAATCTGTTACACACATACAAATTCATAAATGAATGCTGTATGTATACTCATTTTGTCTGTTCTTTGTAATGAATCAGATCCAGTTACTGGTGGGTCCCAGAATGAACTGTAATGATCAACAGAGTTGTACTCTGCCAGATGACCCAGACAGAGATTGTTTCACTCTGCAGAGGAATCGGGCTCGATAGTTTTATATCCTCTTATATATATGATAGCCCTGTTCTGTGCAATTATTACTTCTGTCATTCCATACCTCCCAAGCCTCTCCCAAACCTAGCTGCTCCAGCATCACTGTGTAAGGACATCAGAAATTTAATTATTTCTGTAGTCACAGACTACATAACATTTTTGAACTTTGCTGTATTCATTTAGATTTTTAGAATTTTATCTTGCTCCACATGGTGCATTTAATGTAAAAGTATGTTCGTGACGAGAACAAGACTGACTCATCTCTCTCAGTGATATGTTCACTACCAGATGTTGTAGGTGTATATAACTATCACAGAATAACTAATTCATTTGGTAATAACCAAAGCCATTAGAAGAACAGAAAATCAGTGTTACAGCCCACACCTCTCAGCCCAAGAGGGCTAACAGAGGACTCAGCTGTGGCTCTGCACCATCATCTGGGTGGTGTGAGGCTTTCAGAGGAAGCCCCGACCCTGAATTCAGCAGTGGGCTCCCTTTTCTGTGCATGAGAACTGGCACCTCAGACTCACAAGAGCCAACATGCTACAGAGCCCTGCCTACACAACATGTTCACCCTGTCATTGCCATTTCCTGTGCCTACCTGTGCCCAAGACAGACAGGAAATGCCAATTTTATGAATAAACCAGAATAAACCAGGACTTCCCTGTGAGCTGCATTCCCAGCTCCCTCATATTGCCACACTGAAGTGACCGCACCTGCTACCAGAAGTTACTGTATTATTTTTTTACTTAACTAGCCTCTGGTGTTTGAGTATTAAAAGATAAAATGGATATTCTACCAGTGGCAGTGGTACTCACCGTTGGAATTTAGTGCCTGAATCCCCTCTGTAACTGTAGTCCCAAAGTTCTGGAATAACAATCATTTATCATAGGTGAAATAAAATTTCAGGGTCAGAGACTTCTTATATGAACTTCAAGTAAATGAGGAGAATGTATCAAAGATCAGCATTAAAACAGGAACATAGTTTTAAAGTTTACTGTAGTCCCACTGTTGCCTGATAACTTCATGGTGTTTCAGCAATAGCATCTCTTGGAAAATTGCTTTCTGAAAGCAAAAAATAATTACCACATTATTCATTGAAGAAGATACCCCTGTATTTTTCCCTTTCACACACAGCAAATATTAATTGAAAAACAAAGATTTCCTGTAGTGCAATGTATTATGAAAATATTTACAATATTACATGGTAGGTAAGCTATTATTGTCACAGAACCCACCTATATTTATTTTCTATTTGATGTTAATGAAAATAAGTCACCACTGGTTATGTTAATTTACCCCAGAAGAGTCATAGAAATTAGTAGAAAACAAAATGAGGGGGTTTAAGATTATCTGTGAAGAGTTTAGTCTTTGTGGTCTTCCGAAAAGTTAGTTACCTATTCTGCTCAAAAAAAAAAAAAAATCTGCATTTAGGCAGCACACCTGAAACTGCTGAAGAATCATGGACTCAAAGAATGAGTTGGAAGGCACCACCCTTATGTCCAGTCTAAACCTACACTCTTTCAGTCTAAAACCCCTCATTCTGTCACTACAGGCCTTGGTAAAGAGTCTGTCTCTGTCCTTATAAACCCCTTTAAGCACTGAAAGGCCACAGTGAGGCCTCCCCGGAGCCTTCTCTTCTCCAGGATGAACACCCCCAACTCTCGCAGCCTTTCTTCACAGGAGAGGTGTTCCAGGCCTCAGAGGATTTTCTTGGCCCTCCTCTGGCCCTGCTCGAGCAGGTCCGTGTCCTTCTGCTGTTGGTGCCCCAGAGCTGGACCCAGCCCGCAGGGGGGTCTCCCAGAGCGGAGCAGAGGGGGAGAATCCCCCCCTCGCCCTGTGCCCACCCTGCTCTGGGTGCAGCCCAGCACACGGGGCCTTTCTGGGCTGCCAGCGCCCCTTGGTGGCTCACAGGCCGTTTTCCACCCCCAGCCCCCCAAGTCCTTCTCCTGGGGGCTGCTCTCCATCCCTTCCTCGCCCAGCCTGGGTTTGTGCTGGGGATTGCCCCAGCCTGTGGGCAGGACCTTGCCCTTGGCCTCGTTGAACTCCCTGACGTTCACATGGGCCCTGAATATTATGAGTATGTCCAAATACTCACAAGTATCAAAATATTGCAGTTTTTTGTAACTTTCTGCAATAATTAAAATGAGAAATATGAACTGACAGTATTCCTCTTTCTCACAGTATAGGAAAGTAGTGCTGTGACCCTGTCTGGTAGGACTGAAAGGCGAAGGGATTAGATTCTCTTTCCTGTTGGTTTGTCCAGAAGAAAGCAGCACATTGTTTTGTGCAATGAATAAAACATTTCACTTCAGCTGGAGTAACCATCAAATGCCCGTTGCATTTTGCTCTCAGTTGCTGTTACTGCTCAGGTAGGGCACTGGTGAGATGAGCTGTATGTCACCTGGTTAGGACACCCCCATATTCACTGCTCGTGTTGCTGGGAGGACTTGGATATTGGAAGACTCTGCAGTGCAGATTTACATATGGTTCCATAGGCCTGGGAGTAACTGCCCATCCATGCTTTCGGATCCCCAGCAGCTCCCATGTTTGCAGTAATCTGGAACATCTTTTTGCTGGACTTCAGAAGGGGACGTACATCTTTGCTGTGAAACTGAGTATTCCTTGGATTCTGTACAAGAAAGAAAAGCCAAGATAGTTATAACCTGTAATCAGCTTTCTAAAATACAAATAAGGAACACAGATTTTGCTTCAGCTGAGGAGTAGAAGAGATAATGAATGTTATATGAATAATAAACCAGACTATTTTGTAAGATCAGGAATAGAATAGGATGGTAAGAATGATGTGAGGGAGAAGGGTTTAAGAATGGGTGTGTCAAGAATGAGCGAGTGGCACTGGAGCAAGACACAACAAACTAATCCTGCACTGGAACAGAAGTCCAAGGGCCTGTTTGACTAGTATCTTGTTTTCAACAGTAGTGAATGCTTTAAATATATGTACAAAAGACAGATCATCATCATCATCCCCTGGCCCGGTGACCTGAGATGGAAGCTGCAGGTGGGTACTGTGTTTATCAGTCCCCATGGGGAGGAGTTAATAATACATCAATACCTTATAATACATCATCCATTACAGCACATTTGAATCTGCAGTGCAAGAGGAAGAGTTGTTTCACTGCGGCTTATTCTTTGTGAACCTCTGTAGTGAACTGAAGGGCAGGAATTTCCATTCACTGTTGTGGCACTGGCTACTGACACCCCAGCCATGATGTAGGAGTCTTTCCTGGTCAAATGGCTGAGAACAAGAGTTTCATGATCCTGATAGGATACTGAAAATGAATGCAGACTGAATGCAGAGCAAACAGGAATGTGAGAACTTTTCAGCTCCTGCTGAGGCTGAATGAGAAAGATGGAAAAGTCAACATTCATATAACATAAGATCAGCCACAATGCTGATGACCTTCTACCACAATAACCTGTCTCTGACAGGAACAAATATAAAGCACAGGGCATGTGTAGGATTATCTTCTCCCTATTTTGCTCTTCCAGTAACAAAAAGTTGGTCACAGTTACCTAAGATTCTTCAAATAGCACTGTTCATCTGCACATGCAGCAACTGCCACAGTCTCATGTTGTGAAATAAATGGTTCCACGCTTGCTCCACACTTGTGGAATAAATAGTTCCTCTCACTCTCAAAACATTTTGAATGGGATTCCAAAGCAGAGGGGCTGGAAGACAGATTGCAGGTATGCATGTGGACATACTTGGAGTTACTGGCAATCATGTCTCCTTCTAGCAGTCATTCCTGTGTATCTTCCTATCAATCACAACAGTAAGAAGAGATCCAGGAGGAACAAGCTTGACTCTCAACAGTGTCTGCAGCTTGCTTCTAGCTTGAAATGGTTCAGATCATTCAGAGCTGTGTTCAAAGAAATAATGTGCTTTAAGGTAAATGTGATACTGCATGCTGACACAAAGCTGGTGATCCCACCCAACGCATCCTTGATAGTGGTGTCTGTCAGAAGTCCCTTCACACAACTGTGCTCAGTAGACATTTTGAATGATTTGGAGCTCCAGCACATAGACACTCAAGTATTCTTTTGTGGGGATGTGAGAAAGTCCCACAACAAACAAGTCCATCTTTAGTGTCACAAAAAAAGATAATCTGTGGTGCCTCTTTCCATATTCTTCCTCTGCCATAAGCTTCCTCTGATCACCTTGTGTTGCCTAGGCTCTCATGGAGCTAGTCAGCAGACAACTGGCTCAGGAAAAAGAAAAAGCAGGGGCAAGGAAGTCATTTAAGAACCCAGTGGGGATAAGAACTTTTACAGGGAAGTATGGCCAAGAACAGGGAAGAGGGAGGAGCAGAGAGTACAGGACTGTTCAGCAGCAGCAATCCATTAGGTTGATTCCAGAGACAGTGTGAATTCTCCAGCTAAGTTTGGAATATCCAACAGTCTCAATCTGGTTAAAAAAGAATTTGCTACCTACACACTTTGGACAGGACAAGCCATCATTGAAGCTAATGTAAAAGCAACTGATCCGTGATTCTCATAGGGAGTTTTTGGTGCTGCTGACAATCTGAACAATGCGATAATCTGAGATGGTTTTCAAATCCTCACTTGTCTGAGGTGATAAAACTGAAAGTAGAATGGAGCCCAAAATGAACCTGTCATCTAGAAAAGAGCAGTGGAAAAAAAGTTGTATATCTGAGCACATCTCAAAAAACGTTGTATTAAAAACACAAGATGGGGAAAAGAAATTGAGGCAGAGAATCTGCAGAGATACTTTTCTTTTTGATTACAGTTAGCTGACATATATGATCCATTACAATTAATCTTTGTGAAAAAAATACTTCTTATGAGGCAGAGACCTAGATTTACAGAAGGGCTGTTACTTCATGTTCTCTGAAGTACCTAATGCCCATTCTTAAACTCTACAGTCATTCACAGAACTGCTGCATCAACCTGTGGGCACCACAACACTCTTGCTGCTCAAGTCACAGGTGATAGGGTTTTTTGAAAGACAGGGGTTAGACTTAAAACTCCAGGAGAAACTTAGTGTTTATAAACCCTGAGTAGCCAAAGATCAGCATTACATATGCCAGAGATGTAAGGGTAAAGCCACATCTGTGTCCTTGTCATTTCCTGGTGGTGACTATAGGTGGTCTTCCTCTCCACACTCTGCCTCATGCACAGAACTTAACTCAGGGTCATAAACTTCATTAGTAGACAAAGCACCTGAAATTTAGGCATTGCAACACTGGAGACTGCAATATGCAGGTTCTTACATGAACCTACTCCATGTGAGAGGCAAGCTATGTCTAGTTATTTTCCCTACTAGCAGAAACTCTTCCGTTAGCCCACTCCTCAGCTCTCTAGTAAGGGAATGTGCTCTACACAAGTCCAACTGCCTTATCAAACTAGATACCATCTGACTGACACTGAAAACAAACAATGGCATTTCAGTGTGTATCTTTGTCATAAGTCATTTTAACTGATAAAAATGTATTAATTTAGACATTCACAGAGCAGTATGTCTTGCCTCTCATTTAAGTATCTTAAAAAAAAACCTGCAAATCAAAAAATTCCGTGTCTATATCATTTTGGTCCATGAAAAGTTAAGGGTTCTTTTTTTCGGTAGCACTGCTACTCACATTATAAAGGTTCTGTACACTTGTAGGAGGTAGCTGAGCATTTGCACTTGCCCATGTGAACTGTCTCCCCAGATTCCTATTGTTGGAGATTCTGGCCTGTTGAGAAGGTGGTGCAGAACAGTTCCTGATCACAGCACCACAGTTTGCATTACCTGCAGAAGAAAAACCGAGAGAAAGTAGGAAAATCACAAGGACTCTGACTGAGGCAGGGACAGAACATAAAACTGAGGCAGGGACAGAACATAAAACTGAGTCAGCCCCTGCCACCTCATTCCAATCTCACAAACAGAACAAAAATATTCAGAATAAAATTAGAATGTAGTAGCAAACAAAACCAGTTCAAAAGGGCATGGAAAAAGACAGCAGCAGTAGAGAAGCAAAGAGAAAACAGAAAGGAACACAGAGTCGGGACCAAGGCAGGAAAGAGCCAAAGAGAATGTCATACACAAATCGTTCAACAGCATTTTGTGTCATTTTCCTCCCACACTTTCAACCTTCCATTTTGCCGTGTAAATTCCCTTTATTTCTTTTTCTCCACTCAATCTCTTTTCTTCTTTCTTCCCCACAATAATGCCCCATGATGGATTAGATCCCACTGTAGGAGGGTAATACCTACTTTGAACAGCAGTGTGTGTTATAGGGTTGTATATCACACTGATCTTCGATCTCGGCCATAAAGTTCTTGCAAAACCTTCCTGGCTGGATGCTTCTGGCAGGACACTCGTTGTGCTTCCAGCATGCACATGTGAAGTTTTTAGAAGAGGTGGTGCTGGTTCCCTCTGGCCTTTCCTGGTAGGTAAAGTCACAGAACTGGAATTTGGAAGAAGCGGCCTGGATTCAGACTGACTTAGTGGAATGTTTTCTCTCCGCACTTGCTCCTTTGGGTGACTATTTAATTTCTTTTCCAGGATCATCTATACAAGGAAGTTGGTTAGACTTAACACAACTACACAGCAGAGGAACAAAACAGAAATAAAAGGGAAAGATTTACAAATAACTGCTATTTATTTCACACGATAGGTAATAAGTATAATTTAAAAATTAATTTAGGGATGGAGAGAGGATAGAAATAATAAGGATTGGGTGAAGAGGCAATTTCAATATATCCTGAGGGAGAACACCACTGAATGAAATGGGCATTAGCCTTGGAAAAGACAGAATCCATATGCCCAAAAGGTTAACACCATGTTGTTTCTTACCATCCCTTTCCAGAACTTTGCAAAGCTGATTTGGTCAAAGCAACATTAATCCAAGTTAGTTGATAATTATTTCTCACCTAACACTACTACACATTATTATCTAACAACAGAATCCTTGCCAAGGTTTTGGGTCGGTGCAGACAACCTGCTCTTAACTTCCTGTAATCACAGTTGTTCCAAAATTTGACACCCTATCAGTAACACTATTCAAAACTATTCACTTGTTTCTTAGCTTTGTACCTAGATTATGTGACCAATCTATTGACATTTGCAATATCTTTTCTACCTGTGCTCAGTATTCCCTTGACTAACTCATCCGCTCCTGACTCCTAACACATGTAGAGTTTAATACCTTCCTTCTATTAAAGGCCTAAGAAGAAATTTTAAGTAGGTTCAACTTTTAAAATTCAATTTTATTTTTATTTTCTTCTATTTTAATTGTTGTTAATAGAAGTGATAACACTTTTCCTTTCTCTCTGGGAAGGTGGACACCCTTATCAGTCTTTCTCAGTCTTGGATTTTCTAATCTCTCCTTCCTTTTTAATCTTCTCTTCCCACCTTCATTCTTTCCAACACCTGTTTTACTGTGTTTACATTCCAGCGACTGTTCTTCTCAATGTCCTTCAGTTCCTTTGCCTCGTAACATGGCATTTACATAACTTCTTTTACTGTAAAAACTAAGTCAAAACCAATTTCTCCTCCTAAAGGTTTGATTTACTTCCTCTTTTGCTGCTCCCCATATTTCATTGTTGGAGCATTCACTCCAGCTATCCTCCCCCTACTGTCTCAACACCATCATCCAGATTAGTTCAGTCTTATAATTAGTTCTGATTTGTGTTTATCTTTGTTCTCTCACATCTTTAGACATCAAACGTTCACAGAATCATAGAATGGTTTGGGTTGGAGGGGACCTTTAAAGATCATCTAGTCTAATGCCCCTGCCTGGTGCAGAGGTATCTTTCACTGGAGCAGGGCGCTCACAGCCCCATCCAGCCTGACCCTGAGCACCTCCCACGATGGGGCATCCGCAGCTTCTCCGGACAACCTGTTCCAGTGTCTCACCACCCTCATCCTAACTATTTTTTTTCCATATGTCCATTCTAAACCTACACTCTTTCAGTCTAAAACCCCTCATTCTGTCACTACAGGCCTTGGTAAAGAGTCTGTCTCTGTCCTTATAAACCCCTTTAAGCACTGAAAGGCCACAATGAGGCCTCCCCGGAGCCTTCTCTTCTCCAGGCTGAACACCCCCAACTCTCGCAACCTTTCTTCACAGGAGAGGTGTTCCAGGCCTCAGAGGATTTTCTTGGCCCTCCTCTGGCCCCACTGGAGCAGGTCCGTGTCCTTCTGCTGTTGGTGCCCCAGAGCCGGACCCAGCCCTGCAGGGGGGTCTCCCAGAGCGGAGCAGAGGGGGAGAATCCCCCCTCGCCCTGTGCCCACCCTGCTCTGGGTGCAGCCCAGCACACGGGGCCTTTCTGGGCTGCCAGCGCCCCTTGGTGGCTCACAGGCCGTTTTCCACCCCCAGCCCCCCAAGTCCTTCTCCTGGGGGCTGCTCTCAATCCACTCCTTCCCCAGCCTGTGTTGATATTGGGGGCTGCCCCAACCCAGATGCAGGACCTTGCACTTGGCCTTGTTGAACTCCATGAGGTTCACATGGACCCACTTCCCAAGCCAGACTAGTCTGGGAATAGATCAAGTGGCCTGGGAGCAAGGGGGTGAGGGTGTTTCGGTGTGAGATACCCGTGTATCTGCGGGAGAGGCAGAGGGCAGCCAAGGGACCAGAAGCGTCCTACCCAGCTGCTTGTCTTCACCGTCTATACCAGCACCTGGAGAAGGGCTGCAGCATCGGGGGATGTACAGCCAGGTGCCAGCCACTGAGGACAGGGTCCAGGGGAGCTGCTGAGCAGGCCAGTGTGTGAGACCAGCTGCTGCAGGAATCCACCCTGCACGTAGGGAAATATATTCTCATGAGCGGACTTCCAACTTGCTCAGCCAGAGAAGGCAGCAGGACAAGGCTGCTGGTGCTGTTTGTGGGAGTTCTCTGTGTGCTCTTTGTGATCCATGTGGCCAGCCACGTCTGTGCCATGTGGGGGTGTTTTCTGTGTGCGTGTTCCTACTGAGAATACATCTTCAGCTTTGCTACTGCCTGGGCCTGGGGACATGGAATGGCTGCAGTCTCACCTCACTTGGGAATGTTGGATCCAGCATAATATATTTTCCTCTAACACAGTCCCTCAGACATCATGCTTTACAGACTTCTGTTTCCCAGTGGGAATTCAGATTTAAAGACCTCATAAAAATTATGACCGTATGGAACTGACTGATAAGAAACACCAAGATGTAACTGTAGGGGTGTATGGAAAGCCTAGGGGAACACAAACAGAAGAAAATTACATAATTCATTAAATGTGAGCAAGAATGGCAGGTTACCTGGAGCATTAGGATTTTGGAAAATAGGATAAGAGAAAGTACCTCATATAATTTATTTCGATATTCCGCCACAGACAGCTGGATATCATCACCTAAAGGAAGAATCACATCATAATCCAGAGAGGGCTCCCTGGCAGGACAGTGAAACCTAAGATAATAACAAATAATGTAATTTACTAAGATTAAAAACAGCACCACAGATTAATATAATGTTAAAAAAGGATTGTTAAATCATCTAGTGTGATCTCTAGTGTAAATAGGGTTAGAGAAAATTAAGAATTAGCTTTGTTTTGTTTTTCTATCATGCATATAAAGAAAACTTGTGCCAAGAGCAGGTCTATATCATCTCATAAGACATCAGGGGAAACTGCACATTGATCTTACTCTCACCTTTTCACATAAGGATGCTGCAGAGCCTCCTCTGCTGTGAGTCGTTTATTAGGGTTAAATACTAAAAGTTTCTTCAGAAGATCCAAGGCAGGCAATGGAGTAGAGGATGGCAGTATCTCCTCAAATGTTACTCGCTGCCTAGAAGTCAGAAAGCAATGATATAAGCTCCCAATGTCTAATTCAGAGTGAAGGCATGAATTACAGTTCTGGGGAGTCACATCAAGGTGACACCTGACTCCAGAGTTCACTCACAAATAGTGTGTCAGAATCCTGGAACCCTCTGAAGTGTAGGCCTGCGTACGGCCTTTCATTAGGGCTGTGTGCCTCCCTCCTAGTGCTGGGAACCTACATGAAGTGCCTAACTTGCAAGTCTAGTCTTTCTCTGGAAAGAGCAAGAGATACCAGACAGTATCACACACAGGAAAATAAGAAGTCCTCTGGACAAGAAATATTTATTTTGTTCTTTTGACAATGGAGGAAGCCCAAACTCTTGGATGTTTCAGTAGAACTGTTAAAGACCCCATGAATCCAGCCCTTAGGCCACAGAAATATATTTCTGTATAATTCGCAATGAGAAGGTGAAGTTTAAAAATCTGGTTTTGCATTTTGAAATCCTAAAGATAAATTATTAACATAGCAGACATGAGAATATCCAATACATTTGAAAAATCAGTTTTAAAACATGATTCTTACTCGTATTTTAAATCATCTTCTTACTCCCAGTAAAAACACAAAAAAGTGCTAAGCAGCACAGCAAACTGCAAAAACTGAAAGCAGCCATTAATGCACCCTCAAATCTGATGTACAGCAAAAGAGAGAGCATGCCATGGAGCAGGTACAGGAACAAATAAACCAGTGTCAAGAACAAATACATCAATATTATGACCAGAAACAGCTAAACAGGTGTAATTACTATCAATTCCTGTCTAGTACACTGCAGTCAAACCTATTGTGATGTCAAACCCCTCTGGTCCCATGTTGGATGCCAAAAAGGACTCTGGTGGGTTGACCCCAGATGACAACTAAGACCCCATCCAGTCACTCACTCTACCCCCCTCAGCAGGATGGGGGAGAGAATCAGAAGGGCAAAAGCAAGAAAACCTCATGGGTTAAGATAAAAAGAGTTCAGTATGTGGATGAAAAAAATGGAAAAAAACACCCACCAAGTTGTAAAAAGCAATCACTTGCCACCAACAGCCTGATACTCAGCAAGTGTCCGAGCAACAGCTACTTCATAGAAATTCCTCCCCACCCGTTTTATTGCTGATCATGACACTATATTTATGGAATATCTCTGATCAGAAGGGTCAGCTGTCCCAGCTGTGCCCTCCCCAGCCTCTTACCAACCCTTCACCTACTCGCTGTGGGGGCAGAGTGAGGAACAGACAGCCTTGATGGCTGCTCTGCAAGCACTGTTAAGCAACAGCTGAAATACTGCCGTGTTGTCAACATCATTTTGGTCACAAATATAAAACACAGCAGCATACAAGCTGCCATGAAGGAAATGAACTCCATTCCAGCCAAACCCAGTACAGGTGCACAGCAAAAAGATAAGCAGCAACATTCAGAAATTGCATCAAGGGGAATTCCTGTGGGATGCTGTGGTCATCCACTTCCCCCTGCAAGGTCAAACCCACATACCATGCTGACAGGTGAATCAGCAAGGACAAAAGTGTCTCAGTTCCTCTACTACCTGGCACAGATCAGTACAGAAATCCTGGCATCCCTGAATAATGCTCCAGGATGCCAGCTGAAGTCAGCATGAAAACACATGTGCTGTTCATGTGAACAGTAAGGGACCTGGCAGAGCTTATGATTTGAGCCACCCTAACCCAAACCAACAAAAACATCAGCAAACTTCAGAGAACTCACAGCACACATAGCTGGTCTACGTGTACTGCAGACTCCCTGACAAGAAGGGAGCCCTCTGGTATCATACAGATACGGGTAGAAAATACTTAAGAGACTGGTGAATAATTTGCTGTGGCCATCAGACAGTGTAAGAGCGTTAATTTTACTAATGTTCACTAATTAAGTATGTCATAAATGCAGAATTCTGTGGTAGTCTGTGTATGTAATGAGGATCCAAAAGAACCATGACAGATAAAAGGGAAAAAAAAACAAACAAACGAAGACAGTAAGAGTCGTTAAGCAGCTGGAATGAGTCTGTCAGCCTGAACAGATTCAGGGTTTCCATGTGTGAACCAATGACATCTGATACCCAAATGACTCAGGATAGGAAAATATTCTAATTTTGAGAAAGTATTCATGACAATAGCTTGGAATGTAGGTCCAACCTCATTCTGTTTGGTTATTCCCAGATTATGTCATTGGTCTTCTCATCTTTTTTTTCTTTTTCTAAAATTTACATCCTTTCCCTAGAGGCAGGTGAATCTGCAGAGTAGAAATAATTTCCAACTGGTGAACACTGGAAGGTGAACTTTAGGGGCACTTTTTGTCAACATCATACAGTAGACTCTTGAATTCTGAGACACACTGAACATACACGGCTTACCGGGAACTCATGCGGTGAATAACTGAGGCCCTGTAATCTGACTGCACAGCCAAAATATCTGCAATAATGAAAAGATAATGTTAATGCCAAAATTAGGATTACCAGAGCTATACAGTTTATGAGGGAAAGCAAACATTTGACATTAACATTGTAGATTATCATAATAAAACTCAATGGGAGATCTTATGGAAGGGGGGTGGAATATCTACTTGCACATTTTCTAAGCTTCTCAATTCATACTCATTCTATCATAGATTTCATAAACTTCCACTCATACCCACATATGCAGAAGCACCAAGATATCCAGGGCCAAACAATCTGGCCAGGATCACTTCTGTGGGACACCAGCTACTGAACTCATCACATTTGCTGGGGTTCAGTTTGGCTGGTGACAATGACCATTCTCTGAACAAGTCTGTCGTACTCTCTAAGAGCCAACAGTTGCTATGGAATGGTTTTTTTTTGCTTCAGAATCTTGCTTCTTTGGTCCCCATAAATCATTGGCAAAGTTGCTGCTCACAGGTTGATTTTCTTGTTTACAATAACATTTTGAACAAGTATTTGTTTTCACTTGTATGGCTAAAAGAGAAATAAACTGTGCCTGTGATATGCTGCAACCTTGCAGCCACTGCCCTGTGGTTAGGATACAGGACCTTCTGCTAAGGAGTCATTTGTCCTGGGATCTTGTCTTAAGAGACCTGGTTATGACCAATTATCAACACATTTCTCAACTGTATTCCTGAGAATGGAATAGCCTTTTTTGTTATTAGTGCAAGCTGTTCTTCTAGCTCTTGTCTTGGTGCTTTCACACACACATTTCCATTAATATTTCATGCACAGTAACCAAATCTCTAATAAAAACTATAAATAACTTTAAGCTTGAATGGAAATCTCTAAAACTGTGATGATGTCCTTAAACTGAAGGTAGTTATTTTTCTAGAAACCACTTGCTAGCTCAGTTATATAATTTTACAACATGGTGATACGTTCGAAAGTGTAGAGGCTTTTAGACGGAACTCATAGAAGAAAATAATCATCATCATCTAATCTCTTTTGTATTTAACATATATTTACTCCAGCTTTCCCTTCTGTGTTTAGATTTCCAGACCAAAAAGTCCAATTCACCTTTACTATGCAAGTCCCACTAAAGTATCATACTCTGTTTTAAACTGTTACCCTCTTATAAGTCTCAAAAATATTTTGAAGGCCTGATTCTTGTTTCTCATCTAATCAAGTGCAGGCTTATTGTCCTCTAACACTAACATTTTACAATTAAGTCATTAATTCCCTTGGAAAAGTGTTAGAATGACTCACAAGAGACACCTTCTTCCTGGATCCAGCTGGGCTGCTTTCCTTTGTTCTTTTAATCTCTTCTCTAAATACCTTTCCCTGTAGAAGAGTCCTACCTTCTGGGGATGGGGCAGGAATGACCCTCAAGATCTGCTCCATTTGATTCACTGTTGATGTTCCAGGAAAAAGAGGTTTCCCAAGTAGCAGCTCTCCCAGAATACAGCCAATGCTCCACATATCTACACCTTTAGTGTAACTACAAATAAGAACAGAACAGAGTTAGGACTAAAACTTGCTGTACCTGGTATTCACATCATCTCCATTAGCTTATTTTGCTAGAAAAACAAGGATGATGACTCCTTGAATACAAATGCTCACAGGTTTTAACTACAAAGTGGATGAGATTCTGGAATCATAAAACTAGCAAGCATAAAAGAGAAAGGAGATTAACCCTACTAAGAGTCTGTTCTAGGAAACATAAAAGGAAATACATTAAATGCCAGGACAGGGTAATATATGTTTTTCATAGAACCAACGGTGAAGATACAAGTTGCTGATTGGAAACAACTGACTTTTCAGGGCAGATGAATCTAGAAAGCAGTTACAATTACTTAGGTGCAGTAAATGCCAAACAATGGGTAAATGACAGTTTTGCAAAACAGTCACATTTCAAATTTGGGATACTAACCCAACCTATATCCATTTTCTTTTCTGATCAATGTTTTTGTATATTTAAGCCAAAAAAAAAGGACTAAGCCTTACTAACAGGCAGCTGATTTAACATTTGATTACAGAGTCTTTTCTGAAGGTCTAGCAAAAAGCAATCCTTAAATTTAGAAAATAGGACTAAGGTACTCAGTCAAATTTTGTAAAGATGCAGATTTAAGGGGAGAAAGAGTAAGTCCAGTGGGAGAAAGGAGGACAAACAGATGAGCTGATAATGTATGCAAATGAATAATCTAAGAAGCCAGGAAGGAAATGTACATGTAATGAGATTTTTATGTTGCACAACTGAAGTTTAAATGCCTATTGAGAAAATGGGCTGCTGACATGACACAGCATCTGGTGACACAGAAAATGAAAATATTTAAGACTTTTACACAACAAATTTTACCAGTGGTGAAGACATTATATAACCCCATCCCTTCGCTCACATCAAGCAGTTACCTCTGAGAGGAAAGTAAGATCTCAGGGGCTCGGTACCAGCGTGTTGCCACATACTCTGTTAGAGCAGGGTTGCCTTGATCCTCATTCACCTGACACAAAGAACGGGCCAGCCCAAAATCACAAAGTTTTACAAAGCAGTCTGCATCCAGCAAGATATTTGAAGGCTGAATTGAACAAAGAAAAATCAATAAGCTTTTTACTCTCTGAATGGTAGAAGATTATTATCAAGGTTATTCTACTAGTTTCGTTCTTTTTGTAGTTTTCCATTTAGTGTTTAACAGAAAACTTGAGTGAAGGATAAAGACTATAACTGAAATATACCTTCTGGTCTCTGTGAATAACATTTCCTGAGTGGATGAATTTAGTTGCCTTCAGGAGTTGGTAGAGAATGTAACACTTGTGGATATCTTTCAGTAAATTCCCCTTCTTAATCACAGCATGTAAATCTGTCTCTGTAATATCAGTAATATATTTACATCAGTAAAGGGTTACCAAGTTGTGAATGTAAGTTCCTCAAAGCAAGGCCAGAACAGACCATTGTCCAAACTTTAATCTTTCAAGTGCATCCTCAACAGAGGTTAACACTAATTACTAATAGTACTGCAATCCCCCTTATTATCAGTTTGACTTGCAGCTCATGCTACAGTAACTGTTCTATTATTGCAGCCTTTTGTAATAATAAAATTGCATAGTCTCTCCCATATGCAACTCTGTCTCTACAAGCCTTCTAATTTGTTGCTCACTACCATCTTTCCTTCATCTCAACCAGCCAGTTCTCACATAATTATTGCTCCTTTTAAAGTTTCACTGCTATTCCCATCTAATCACAACTGATACACATAAACACACCTGCAGTGCTCCTACCTCTATGTCTACTTATATGAATATTCATGTAAATCATCAACACACTACTATCAAAGTAAGGAACAAAGATAACTCATAAGAGAGGCTGTATTTAAATGGCTGATGCAACGCTACGTCTCACCCATGGACTCAAAGATGAGGTAGATGTCCTTGTCATTCTGAGCTCGGATAACATCAAGCAACTTGATGATATTTGGATGTTCTCCAAATTCCTGTAGAGGGAAGACATCCAACTGTCAAAATCAAGTGTCTTGCTTGTGAATCATAAAAAAAAAAAAAAAAAGACAATAACCTATTTTGGTTTGTATTATTGTCTAGAACAAACTTTAACATGCTATTTCCTTCATTATGCTTCCACTGAATTTTAAAACGGATTTAAACTTGCTCCACAGTGTGAAACCAGACAGTTAATCTAAAAAAAATCAATTTCTGTTGTCTAAGACATTAGTTCTAAAAATTCTTCTATACCATTTGAGAATAAAATCCAGACAACTTTATGCACCTCGTATTTCCTACACAAAATTATTGTGGCAGAGAAAATAGAATATCTAAGTTGCCATCAACTTTCATAATTAGAGAACCTAACCAACCCAGAAATTCCTATCTGAGGTAGGCTGAAACACTCTACAGGCTGCATTATTGTCATGGGAGATCCATCAGCATACGTGGCATATCCACCTCAATACTGGAGGTGAATTCTGTGCTCACATTTGCAGATGGACAATACTGTCAAGATCATTTACGTCATCATTTCCAGTCTTAACAACCTTTATTTCCTGTAGCTGGCACTTCTGCACAGCTAGAGACACTGTGAACACTTCACAGGATGCCAGCATTGTCATGAACTACCCTGAGTATAAAATTATAAATAGCCGCACCATAAAACCTAGACTTATATCTAAAATACATAAATTATTTTTTTGTTATTCGAAACAGCAATGTAGACTTTATTTCCATCACAAATTCAGTCACAAACAGTATCAAAAATTGTAGTATTAAGCTCTCTACAGTCATCTTAAAACAGCATCATCTTCCTAGACTCTGAGGCCAATGTTATAATGTACAACATCCAGAAAAATCCACAAATCAACACACTCACCTGCAGCAATCCATGAAAATACACTCACAAAGCAGTAATATACAGCCAGGCCATCAAATACCCTTGCATTTATTCTGAGGACACTATTCAGAATACGCAATCCAAACAATTTAAGGAAAGTTTTTATCCCAAAGGGATAAATTTCTAGAGATGCACATCAGTCTTAAGTCTATTAAGCACCAAAAGTCATGAAAGTAAGGGCTTAATGGCACATTAACCTCCCTCCCCCAAAATGACTCGTTCTTTCCTTCAGGAAAAATATCCTTTTTTTCCTCCCAACTTCTCCTCCACTCATCAACTCCAGAAGTGCTGTACTTCCAGAGATGATCTAACAACTTACAGTAATTAACTTCTAAGGAATTGTTCTCTTATGTTTTTAGCTCATAAGTTTGTGGCTTCTATTTCAGGCTTAAAGGATGATTAAGAAGTAAAAAACCTCATCTCTTTCCTACTTAAATTTGACAGTCTTAGGAAATAGCTCTTCCTATGAGCCCTGTCTTGCTTGTGTCCTTAGAAAATCATAGTTATAGCAACATTATCACTATTCAAAAATATTGATGTTTCTACAAGCTAAGTCTGAGGGAGGAATGGACAGATAATTTTAATGCCACTGCCACTGATAAGGTAAATAGGCGTAGTGTATGGTCAATTATATCAAAACAAGAGCAGCCTTAATTAATTCCATACAGAACTCCCTTTTAGTTTTGCTCTGATTATTTCATATGGTCAAGTTGCTTCCCACATGACAGAGAAAAAAAAAATTTGGCATGTAAATCTCTTCCACACCCCAGCCCCACCCCTGAATCATGGCATTTAAATTTTAAGAACAACACTTTCTGTCCACAAAGAAATAAAAATTGACAGAAAGTGCAAATCAATATCGTGATCCTAGAGTAGACATACTGCTAAAAATGGTGAAAGAACAGGGCATGTCTCAAAGGAAAAATAAGACATATGCTCCATTTCATTCAGGTGGTTTTGCCCAGTCATGGGAAGACTGTTTGCCAGGATGGTGCAGAAAAGAAGTTAACAAGAGTTGCCAACACTGATCATTGCATTTTGAAAAAGAATGGGAATAAAATATATGAACAACATCAGAGAGAATTAAAAATCAGAGAGGACAAGGAAAAATGGATGTTACCTGCAGGAACATAATCTCTCGAAATGTTCTCTAGAAATAAACAGAAAAAAGTTTTTTATCAGCTCAACAGAATGACAGAACAGAGTACAGACCTCCAATGAGACGGTTAAATCCATTCTAATCTCTAAAGCAGAGGAAACCCTTATATGGTAGACAGACTGGGAAAACCCCAGTTCCTCACAAGAGTCACAGGTGTGCTCTCTGTGCCCAGATGCTACGGCACAACAACATGAGGGAGAATCAAACTGCACATGCCTATGGAGACACTTTTTACTTAGGGACATCAAACAGTAGCTCGTAGATGCCATGATATAGAAAGCTTGACATCTACTGCTCCTTTTTATCCTAATATAGCTGTAGACTGTATTATTACATGCATAATTGTCAAATAACTAACATCTTTCAGAGACATAAATCCCCAAAATATCTATGAACTCCCAACACATCTTTCAGGACATGTTAGAACAATGATTTCTCACCTGAGCATCTGTTCTGTTCCTGAAAGCATCAAAAATCTTTTTAACAGCAACTATTTCTCCTGTCCTGCGATCAACTGCTTTCCATACAATGCCATAAGCCTAGGGAGAAAAAAGGACAGATGAATATCTTAAGCACAGTTCAGGCCTTCAGTGTGGAAGTAGAACACTCTCAGAGGGACTGGAAGAAGAGGTAATCACCAGCTACCTAGAAGAAAGAGAGATTAGGCCTATGAGCAGTGCTTGGCTGAGTCAAGGACTAAGATCATCTGAACCCATACCCCAGGACTACACATATTCTTGGGAAGTCTGCTTCAGGGTCAATACCTCAGTACTTAAGCATGAAAATCACTCAGTATCACACATTGCAGCTGTTTTACTTTGTAGGACTATTTAAACATTATCTGGGCATTTCTGAGTGAGAAATGACCCCACTGTGCAGGTGCAAGGCATCTCCTAGAATGTGGAAACTTAAAATTTAAATCTATGACCTAAAAATAAGAAAACTGGATTTGTACCACAAGGGAGACTGGGTAATCACCATTTGCGAGTATCACAAAATCATCCAGAACAGAGAAAACTCGAGAAGTTCCCATTACCTTAGTTGTTATCACAGCTTTTAATTAAAAAACAAACAAAAAACAAATACTACCCAGAAAAAAAAAAAAAACACAAAACAAAACAAAAAAAACCCAACCCACCTGTCTGAATCCCTTCACTGTATGGGAACAGTTTATCTCTCTTGCTGCTGCACTGCTCTACTTTCCAGGCAGTCCTCACCTGTTTCAGGGACTCCCAACAGCTTTTTAAACGCTTAGGTAAGTACATCAGCTGTGTACATACACAACACACACAGAACTTTCTGCATACAAGAGGCAGAAAATAAGACTATTTAGGAGACTGGAACCACTTGGGTTAAGAGCTCAACTAGTTGTGTTGATAACGTCAGTGAGGCCTAGATGACCTGCATGTATGTAGTTATGTCTGTTACATAGTCTGCAAATAGAACTCTCAAACAATCTGATATTTCAGATGAAAGAGTAATATTTTCTGTTCGAAGACTTAGCACGTTAAAAGATGTGATATAATACAGTCAAAGGGAGAAAGCTGGTTACTAATAACAAGATGGCAACATACCTCAAGTCAGAGGCAAAATTAGAATGAAATATAGCCATAAGAAAGCTCTGTGTGGATCAAAAGGAGAAAAACAAAACACTGTTTTAGGGAATAAGGAATAAAATGAGCCTCTCTCAAGTGCCCCTTTATAATTGCAGATGAAATACTTAACTAGCAGTATCAACACAACTAAACAACAGCAAAGAGCTGCCGGAATAGAAAAGCAGATAATCCGGAAAGGTTTAGACACTGCCTGAGGAGAAAGATCTTAGAAATTAACCTTGGCTCACATACAAAAATACATCATTTTATGGGGAAAAAATTACTTGATGAGGCATAGTACTTGAAGTAATTGGGCTGCAGTAAACACAAAAGAATTTGGTGGACACAAACAGAATATACTTTGAGACTCTGATTACTTTTACTGTAAACCGGGGCCGCGCGGGCGCACGCCGTGACGTCAGGCGCACGGCACGTGACCGCGGGAGGGCGGGCGCACGGCAAATGGCGGCCGGTCGCGGTGCGGTGCCGCTGGCGGGTTCTGAGGCGCAGTACGGCTGCGTTCACCTTCCTCCTTCCCCCGCGGGCCGGGCCGTGGCGGCGGGGCCGGAGCACAGCCTCGGCAAGTTTCCAGATGATACAGCGCAGGGAGGAGTGGTTGATAGAGCAGATGTTTGTGCCACCCTGTCGGGCTGGCAAAATGGACCAACAGGAGCCTTGTGAACTTCATCACTAGAAAGCGCAGAGCCCTGCACAAGGGGAGGAACAATCCCGTGCAGCAGTACAGGCTGGTGACTCTTGGGCTAGAAGCCTGCCAGGAAAGGAGCTGGAGCTCCTCGTGGGCACCAGGTTGACTGTGAGCCAGCAAATGTGCTCTTGCAGCAAAGGTGGTGAACATCGCCTTGGGCTGCACTAGGAAGAGCGTTTCCAGCCGACTGAGGGAGGTGGTCCTTCCCTTCTCACGGAGACACCTTCCCTAGAGTATCTTATAGGGTCCTGGGTTCCCCAGTATAAGACAGACATGGAACACACAGGATTGTGGCCACAAAGATGATTAAGTTTTGGAGCATCTGTGATACAGGGAGAGGCTGAGAGCTGGGATTGTTTAGTCTGGAGAAAGCTCAGGGGATCTTACTAATGTGTTTAAATATCAGGTGGAGCAGGGGAAAGACCCTGACTCTTCTGAAATGGAAATTTGTGATGGAATTGAAATTCCATTTAAATTTAAGAAAAAACTTTTTTTTTACTGTGTAGTCAAACACTGTACCAGGCTGCATGAAGAGGCTGTGGAGTCTGTTCTTGGAGATGCTCAAAAGCCACTGAAAGTGGCCCTGCTCTGGTTGACCTTCCTTTGAGGTCTCTTCCAATCTCAGCTAAGGTTTGCTTCTATTTAAAATATCCCCACGGGAATGTTAAAACTTACAGTAAGGGAGAATTCTGGTGTCATTGTTGATGAGGTAATTGAAATCCAGAAGTGTTCAACTTGGAAGGTGAAAGTAGCTGCAGTGTATTAGAAGCACAACTCTTTCTTTAATTCTTGCTTCTCAAGTAAAACACTAAAACAAGAAAAGAATGAGAAGAAAGTAAAAATTGATACGAATATATTCAGTGAATATATTTTATTGGTAGTTATGACCAAGGGCCCGGTGCCTCAACTGCTTATATTGTTTAAAGGATTTGGTTGCTTGCATATTTATTTTCTCTCCTTTGGAGGCTAGCAGAAAGTAAAGTCTTTGCCATGTGGAAATTTTGCAAAATGAATGTTGCTGAAAGTAAGAGCTGGCCTACATTGGTTCATACTGTGGTATCAGTAGATGTAGTGTGCAGTAAACAGAGAATACCTCACTCTGTCTAAGAAGATAATTTACCCATGGAAAATTACTAATGAATGAAACATCAAAGTCTGATCTCAAAGAGAAAATGTTATTGTTTATTTTGGGACATGCCATTCAAATGCCTTAATACAGATGTCATGAAAGTTAAAGCTGTGGTTACTTTTAAGATCTGTTGTCTGGGTTGCATGCTGAGCATGAGCTATGGAAATCAACCCTTTCATCCACCTACAGAACAGTCACTTCTGTATCCTCTGTTACCGAACTAATGCTGGCAGCAGCTGACAGTCCAGATATGTCTACTGATACACTGGCATTTATGAGGAGGGGAGAGATGGTTTTTGGATAATGGACACATCTGAAGGGGCTGTGAGGGCTGTAGGTTTCAGCGTTTGCATCATGTGCCTCATGCTGGTGTGACCACGGCCGCCGGCGTGCCATGTCCTGGGTGTATTGGTTCTCCCAAAGAAGCTGCTGCTGCTGCTCTCTCAGTTGAACTTTGGTTTCTTTAAGGATTTTGGAGTATTGGATGAGTCTGAGCAATTCCTGGCGCAGATGCCAATTCTCTGCTTTTACTTGTGTGATGTGCTGAATTAGAGATTGCATCGCTGCTTCTTCTGCTCTCTTGGTGAGAACCTGGATCTTCTGATGAAAGTCTGTCTCACAGTCAGACTTGGCCTGCAGAAATCTCTTGATTTTGTGCATTTCGTCTGAGTACTGTATCTTTGTGGCCAACAGTTTCTTCTCTAGCTCTTTAATCTTTTTTGTCTGTTCCAGCTGAAGAGATGAGTATTTAAAAGGCTGCAGGTCTTCAACCTCCTCATTCACAAGAGAGTACTTTGTCTCCATATCCATCAGAGCGCTCCTTACCTCCTTCTCTTTTTCTGTATACTGTGAGATTAGCTTCTCTTTTTGCATCCAGACTTCAGACAGATCAGTGTGATTCTGGTCATTTAATGTTATTATTAGATTCTGGCACTTCTGGCTGTGTTTTCTTATGTAAGAGAGGTAAGCATTGCTCTCTTCCTGATTCCGTTTGGCTTCCTTTTCTAGGAATTTATTTTCCTGCAGGAAATGTACCACTCTTCCCATGTATGTGTTCATATGCCTAGTGAGAATCTTGTATTCCTTCTGCAAGTACAATTTCCTCTCTTTGTCATGTGTTTCCATGTCACTTATTCCTTTGGTTGTATCTCCATCCTTGGTTCTTACTCCTTGCTCATTTCTGCCGGCACTCATGGTGTCTTGTTTTGTCTGCTTTGTCTTGGATGCCATATTTCACACTGAGGATATCAAACTCTGGCAAACTGCAAAAGAATGAAAACCCACAAATTCTAAGTGAGCATTTATGCCACATGTATGACCGTTGCTTTTCTCCCCAGCCATGCCCTCCTATGTTTGTATGCTTAAAATGATTATTCTGGCAGCTAAAATGTTTGACCTAAAACTTTTCATGTCTGGCCTATGTCTTGAGTTGAAGCACACATGCATATATATATATATATATATATATATTTGTGGTTTTATGTTCCTAGTTAACTGAGAAGAAAAACACATCTTTTTTAAGATTTCTTTTTTGTCATATAATGTTTTATTTCTGTAGTTTGGAATACAAAGTCAAATTCCACTAGTGAATTATTGCAGCTGTACATTTTGTAGGCAGTAGATCTTGTCCATAAAACTTCAGCAGCAAGTAAGTACTGAAGTGCTAATAGAGTCATGCCTGAAACTTGCAAATTCATAACAAATTCTAAAATAGAACTGCTAAGTCATAGTGCTGGTCTGTAAGTTGCCTGTAGAGAACGTTATGGACAGTAGTACAGATTAAGCCCCATTCCTCCATCAAAGTTAGATTCCTTATTTGTATTTGAAGCTGCATCCTTTTCCTGGATTTAGAAAGCTAAGTCAGTATTGTCTTATGAAGTGAGAGCAGAAAAGGAAATGGTGCAGCCAGTTACAACCTAGGGCTTCATTGATCAGTCAAGGAGAGAGACCACATTCTTATCCTTCCACTGCCGAAGGTAACAAACCGGTACTTTCTTGGACTCATCTTAACCATGTCATTTGCAAGATGACACAGATAACTAAATATTTATGAATGCAGAGAGAGTGAGAGAATGACCATGACGGGGGTAATGGCTAAAGAAACATCCTCTCAGATCTGGCCATGGAATGTGTGCCATAGATCTTGATGGAGCGTTGAATGTGCCATGCAGATGTGATCTCTCCAGTTGCGTAGGACTGCGTTCTTCCCTCAGAGATGGTGGGTAGGAGATAGGTACAGAACATTATGGGGGGGCTGAACATCGGTTTAGCATCTGTTGAGACTATATTGGATTATTCATTTGGAGATTATTTATCTGGGCTGCTTTTTTTCTGAGTTCTGTTTTGGTTTTGTTACAGGTGAGTAACCTGAAATTTGCTTTGGTGTTTTGGCCAAATTAAGACAAAATGTTTTACTCTATTAGGAGAAAGATGTTGTGGCATGAGGATAGAACCTCTGTGCTTATTTGTAGATGTACACCCAAGTTTCCATGGTAAGAGAACAACATCCCAGATAAGACCCTAGAGTGAAGAAACACGTGTAGTGCAAATAATGGTAAGGCTTACCAAGTTGCTAGTAAAATTTGCCACAGTAAGATGCACCTTTAGAGCACAGAATTGTTTTCCAGAAGGGTCAGACATTACTGAATAAGAAATGATGAAGTGCAGCAACAAGATAGAAGCTGTGCATGTCTGAAATCCATGCTTTTTCCTTATGGTTCAGAATATGGTTTTTGTTGGTCATCTTGTCTGTGTGGCACAGGTTCACACTGGTAAGTATAGCTAAACTCCTGAATTGGAGAAGTAAGTTAGAAGATATGTTTTGTAACTTTTGTGAGATACCAAGTGAACGTGATGGAATAATGGTCAATGCTATAGATAGCACTTCTAAAAATCCTTCTTCTGTATATAACATGTTATTAAAAGATAACACATCATAGGAAAGGGATGTCTAGTAATGAGACATAATTTCTGAGGTTTGAATGAGGCATGGAATTGTTGAAATAACAGTAAGTGGTAATATAATTATTTGAATATATATTCAGACAGTGTGAGCACTATGCCTACAATCCTACATTAAGAATTTGCTGATTTTTTTAAGCATTCATTTCAGGAGGGAATTCAGGTTTTTTTAATATGCATTTTATGTTTTAAAACTGCTGAGATGTCTGCAGTTTAAGAGGCACAGTTAACTCCACAGCAGATACTAAAGGAAGGAAAATGCATCAGTATTAGTGATTCTTGCAGATGGGATTGAAAAATAAATGAGTGAATAGTACTTTGTTTGCTGAATTTCTAAACTACTTATTCAAAAGAGGAACAATGTAATCAAGGATTTAGAACGGGAGAGAAGCCTGGTAGGTCTAATGGTATTAATGAACATTTGTAACTAGAAGTTACAGTATCCTAATACAACTGGTGGCCCTTCTTAAAGAAAATATGCAAAATCCAAGTAAATAGGTGAGCAAAATAGAATAAATATACTAAAATTGCCTGTCATAGTAATAACAGGTTCCAAGCTGGGAATGTGGCAGTGCATCAGTGGAGTTGGGTATAGGGAGATGTAAGAGTCCGTACAGAAATCAGTGCAGTTGTGTTTTGGGAAGCAGACCTGAAGAGCTAGAAGGGTGTCACACTGCAGGAGGAGTGGAACCGAGTTAGTGCTAATTGTGTGGTTTGGGGGGAAAGGCAATTGCAGAGCTGTATGAATGTTAGAGAAATTACTACATCTGGAAGGAAAAAACAGGCCTTGCTAAGGCTGGTATTATACAAAATGTGGGTTTTTTTAAAAAGCACTGACCTTTCCTGCTCCTGCAGTCTTCATAGCTTTTCCAGATAGCCCTTCTGGCTTGCTGTTCCTGGTTTACTGGACAGCATTTGTTGATAGCAGACTGATCTCTGCAGAACGATGATGTTTGTGAGCTGTTTGTCTCCATGGTGATGAAACACAAGCTCTGCAGCTGGGTTCTCAGAGCCCTTTCGGTTCCCTGCTTGGTTGTGAGGCCTGCCTGGGACATGCTGCGTTACCTATCGGTGTCAGTTAAGCAGAAACACAAAGGCAGTTTGGTTTACAGAATATGATTTGCAGTGGCCTCTGTAGCAACAGGGAGACAGCCTCAGCTGGCTGTTAGGGTGTGCTGAGGGAGCAGCTATGACTGAAGACATGGTCCTCCTTGGGAGCCAGGTGCCAGTATCTGCTCAAGCACTTCTGGTCCATATATTGGTGTGATCCATTGGGTCTGAGGGGGTGAGGGCTTCTCCCAGGGTCTCTTTGATCCTTTTGAGGTCCCTGGGGTGTTCCCAGAGAGCTCCAGCGCTGTTCACACAGCTGTGGGGGATGCCCTTTGCGTTGTCAGGAATGCTTGGGGCTGGTGGTGGTATTTCCTGTTACCCTGGGGGCAGCCAAGGCCCCTTCACAGCTTTGTGAGGTTCCTAGGCTGCTCCAGACTTTACTGGCATCAGCTTGAGGTATCCCCAGGAGTTTCCACAGGGACACGGGGAACCTGCAGGCAACTTCCTTCAGTCACATTGATCCCACAGTTTGTCTTACAGCTGTTTTGGTGTGCACCAAGGCCCTTCATTTCTATTTATTTTTGAAACATACATTCCTAGCTATTAAATACTAAGTTTGGAAAGAGGGGGGGCCCACTGCAACACGCAGAGCTTGCTCGTTTTCCACCCGCGAATCCAAGTCACAGGGCTGATGTTGCTGTGGCGAGAGCTGTGAATGGCTAAGGAGGGCTCTGTGTCTCGGGTACAACAGAATTCTTTGCACTCCGTGTGTGCGTGTTCCACCTTTGAAATAAAAGCGAGCTGGCACAGCCGTTCAGCGCCAGCGTTGTACCTGCTGTGGGGCTCTGCCGCATGGCTGCGGCATCCGGCGTTCGGTGGACGCGCAGTTGGCAGAGCCCGTGCCCGAGGGGCTGTGTCAGCTGCAGGCCCTGCTGCCACAGCGGGGAGTGACGGCCGGAGCACAGCCACGCATCTGAAGGCTTCGTGTTCTGGTGCATCTGCTGCATGGGGGTTTGCTCCCCCAGGAATTTGGGGTTCACAGAAAAACTGGGTGGCAGAGCTGGAGGAGAGCAGGTGATGGCTAAAGGCCATGTCACTTGGAGGGGTCGCTCTCCGTGGAGCTGCAGACTTTGGAGCTGAAATGCAAAATTGTCAAGTGTCTGAGCTGGACCGTAGCACTTGGCCAGTTTCTGGTCACATTGAGGCACTCCGGTTGTTTTTCCTGGGGATTCCAAAGTCCTTGGTTTCTATTTTAAATGTTTCTGCTTATTTACTTTAAAATATTTAGAATAAAACCTTAAATAGGGTAGTAACTAGGAGGTAACTGGAACAGTGTTTGGGAGTAAAAAATGCCTATGATCTATTCTAGCCATTATTTAAAACATTACAGACAGTAATGACTCCCAATTTATATAGTAAAATTACAAATAATAAAATATAAATAATAGAGCACTAATTGGGAGTAATACCTGAAGAGATACACATCTAGCTAATATTATTACTTAAGGAACTAGACAGTACTTTTTCCCAATCAGTATCGTAATGAAAAAAAATTAGTGCTGAAGATAAAAAACTAACTGGGAGTCATTAACAGCTAAATTTAAACAGCCATTATTAAATAAATTGTAGACATTAATGATGCCAAGTTAGAAACAAAATAAGAGATTTAGATTTTAAAAGAAATAGATTTGAAAACTAATTGGTAGCGTTTAATGCTTAAATCACAACCTAGCCATAAGTAAGTTCAGAGGTAATAATGACTCTTGCTTGGAACCAAAACCGTAATAGAGGCTTTAGATTTTTAAATAAAGAGAAATACAAATTAATCATTAAATAATTATTACTCTAAAATGTATGCATTAAAAAAAGAAAACCCACAGGTGGAAATGATTCCCAGCCAGAACTCACCTAACACTAGAAGGTTTAGATTTAAAATAAAAGAAAGCTAACAGGGAATCGTGAGTACCTAAATTTAAATGTAGCCCCGGGGGGGCAGAGGCAGGAAGTCACACAGAGTAATTACTCCCAAGTAGAGCTAAAATAAAAATAGTGCAGCTTAAATTTCATTAATAAAAAGTTAAATTGAGTTTAAAAAACATATAGAACACTAATTGGGCATCATTAATGATTGTGATTTATTTAATAATATCAGTGTAAAATGTATGCATTGACAGTGCCCAAGCAGTATTATCATATTAAAAATTTCCAGTCATGAAGTAGAAATAGAATAATAGTTTGGAATAGTTTATTATAATAATATATTTTCACACACCCCCCGCCGTCACACCCACCCCCAGTCACACCAACTATTACTGCCACTGACCGACCGACCCACAGGGTGGGGGTCAGGTCAAACAGTATCCTAATAATTTTTTTTGTTTCTACAGGTAAATTTGTTTTCATTTCAGGTAAAAGAAT